ATAAAGGGTCGGCCTTGGTGCCTTAGACCCTGTTGATATAGTGATAAGAACTCACCTCACAAGTATCTCGAAGTGATAAAGTCAAACTCCACCAAATGCAGCTCCAAGTACAACACATATATCCACCAATGATCCACTTCCATAAATTCCCAAATTACCAAAATACCCCCCAGAAGTCAAACTAGTCAACCCTTGGTCAAAGTCAAAGTCAATGGTCAAAGTCAACAGTCCATGTTGACACGACTCGTCGAGTGCAGCTAGCAACTCGTCGAGTTCCTTAAGAACTCAGAAATCACCAAAACCCTAATTGACTCGCCGAGTTTCCAACCAACTCGTCGAGTCCATGCGTGTCCAAATGTCAGGGAAAACCCTAACTGACTCGTCGAGTCCTCTTACTGACTCACCGAGTTCATTCAGAACCAATTACGGGTAATCTTCATCTGACTCGCCGAGTCGGCTATGCGACTCGTCAAGTTCATGCGGTCCATTTCTTATACAAATGTTTTTAAGCTACTCCAAAGCTCCAACTTGTAGATCTAGCTTCCTAAGGCACAAATTCCACGTAAAGTTGCAAACTTTACGTGCATGCAAGGTCTTAAAGGCTTAAAATACCAAAGCCACATCTAGAATGAGGTTTAGGGCATGGTGAGGGGTTAATACTAGATAAAGCTAATAGCTTTCTAAATTTGGGATCTAGAGGACTCCATATCTGAGACTATATCTTCTGGACAAGTTCAAATCCGAGAATGACCCCATTTTTCCCCAAAAATGACCATAGTCATGCATGAGAGAAGATCTAAGAAATGGAAAGCCAAGGTAAAGACTTTTTACCTTCAAATGAATGCCAAAATGAAGTAGGTGTTGGATCTACAGGCTCCTTCTCGTTCGAATCTTCTAGGTCTTCAAATCTCTTCAATAAAAGCACCAAAACACACTCTTTTAGCCTCACACACTCAAAAATGGAGAGTTAGCTTGCTAGGGTTTGTTTTTGGACGATAGGCTTGTAAGGGAGACTGGGGAGAGGATTTAAGGTTTTTTAAATAGGGGCAAACCCTAAAAATTAGGGTTTCCATGCACAACCCCTACTCGTCGATTCGGGGTCCTCCGACTCGTCGAGTAGGAGTTAAAACCCACGCGGGATGACTAGGTTCGACACGACGAGTTGGGACCTCCAACTCTTCGAGTTCCTTCAATAAAATGAATGAAAAGCTTTTAAAATATACCTGGGAGTCGGGGTGTTACAGTATAAAGAAAGAATGTATGAATTAGGAGTTGTTGCTAATGGGGGTGTAGCTGTTCATTTTAATAACCCTGTTAATGAAGTTGAAATACCTATTGATGGCCCTATTGCCCCCTTGAATGCCCTTGAACTTGCTAATCATATTACAATGCTTGAGAATGCACATGTGTCTGCTAATGAACTTGGATTCTAGAAGCGGATGATGGTTTGTTTCGTTTGTTTCATTGTAGGGATGATGTATGGTTAGTATGGTGTAAGTTGGCGGGTATTATGGTATGGTAGGGATGATGTAATCTTTTGGTTTGTTATCATGGTGTAATGGATATATGTTCTTATGGATCATATAATGTTTTGGTTAATGAAATGGGAATATGTTATTTTGATTTGCATACATGGTGTACACTTGAAAAATATAACCATGAAAATATGCACACTTGACAACGATAATAATTAAACAACAAACTCCAATATGTCATTACCAACCATGTTAAGGGCATTCACAATGTTTCAATGTGTTTACAAAAGATGTACAAAATATGGCTATCAGTATTTAAGGGCATTCACAAAAGATGTACAAAAGTAGCATTCACAAAAGATGTACAAAAATGGCAACCTAATCACCATTGCCCAACTCTTACCATTTAATACCCTTACTACCCTTAACACCCTAACACCCTAATCCAACTCCAATGCTGAATTTGCAGAAGTCCCAACACATCCCATCTTCTTTAGCTTAGTTTTGACAATCCTCTCAAAGGGCCTTCTTCTTTTCACAATCTTAATGTGTATTGGTAATTATTGGGTGTCATTAATTCCTTCTTCTTCTTCTACTTCACTTTCTGGTTATGTTTCAGGGATAACTTCTTCTGCCCCATCTTGTGTCTCAGTCTGAGGTGGATCCTCCTCTTCATGTTAAACATCAAGCAATTAATAACATAAATGAATGTTAGGATTAACCAATTAAATATGAAAACAAAGAGGGTTTACCACAGACATAGGAAGAACTTGTTCAATAGTGTCATTATAATCATTGAGTTGTTTCATGTGTGAATCTGTCAGACTAAGGGTATTTTGAATCTCTTCAATTGAATACTTTTATGATTTCAAATATTGCATTGCCTTCTATAGATAGACTAAAATATTTTTCAGGAATAGTGTCATCCTCATTTTCAACCTCAGCCACTCCACCACCTTCAACTTGAGCCATTCCACCATCCTCAAATCCACCAGATGTATTACCACCTACCACTTGTATCACCTCTATTACTACCTTTACCACCTCTCTTATCCCCTGCACCCCCTCTGTTACCCACTACACCACCTCTCTTACCCCCTGTACCACCTCTACCACCTGTAACACCACCTCTAGTCCAATGACTGATATCAGGATCTAATATTGGTCTACCCATTTTTTTATTGGGTTTGGGCTCTTATGTGACCTTGGGATTCTTACAGGATACCTTGTTGTGGCCCCTTTGAAGACAGTTTTTGCATTGGACTGTCCTTCCTATTCCAGTAACCTTCATCTTCTTTTGGGAGTATTTGTCTTGAGATTCAGTGACATGCCTCTTTCTTTTTAGAGTTGGTCTCCCTAGCATTCTTCTAGCTAAAAGGGGTAAAGGCTTTGTGTATGTAGTTCTAGGCCATAAATTTCTACCATTCATAGGTAGTATATTGTTTGCATATATGGCCTTGAACTTGTCCACATTAAACCACTCATTGATGAATTGAACAGGATCTTGTCCAGTGTATAATATTGTAGATTGTGCATGTACACATGGAATTCCTGAGATCTCCCAAAGCCTACAGCTACACACTTACCTTTCTAAGCCAACCACGTACCCTTCAAATCCATTCCTAACTTCAAAAATAGATGGTCCACTTGGACTCACATTCCAATTCCTACAATGACATTAGTAAATGAAATCAGAACAAATAAATTAGAAGAATGAAATTAGAACATTAAAGTACAGATGACAAACCTCAAATCCACTCCAAACTTGTTCATTTTCTTGATTGCAGCTGGACAAACCACCAATTCCCACTTTTCTGCCTTTTATAACATGTGATAGAACCTATCCATCATGTACAACCTATTTTCTTCAAAAAATGCTAGAATGGGTTCTTTCTAGCATCCAATATGATGGCATTGAAGCACTCCGCAATGCCATGTTTAACTGCCTCACATGCTACCTTAGTTCTAAAATATGCCCTGCACCATGTGTGAGGATCTCCTGCAAGCAAATGTTCATAAGCACTGGGATTGACCTCTTTGATATCATCCATTTTTCTCAGAAATTCACTATCTACAGTTGAAAAGGAAGTTGCCCAGGACATATTCTTGAACTCCACTCCACTATAGGTCTTCCTAAAGTTATCATATATGTGCCTTGCTGTCTATGCTCCACATTGGTAGTAATTCCTTTGTTGCTTCAAGCAATCCCTACAATGTAATAAAAATAAATAAATAAACATATAAGATGATCATAAGGAACAATCATAAATATGATAAGAAATTACAAACCTTATGTTGATCAGAAATTATAGTAAAAATTGTATTTATTTTATCTAAAAGTGTCATTTATAAATTAGAAAAGTTGAAACAAACGACACCTAAATATATATTTAACATGTAAAAATTGTATTTATTTTATCTAAAAGTGACATTTATAAATTAGAAAAGTTGAAACAAACGATACTTTGCTTCCATGGCGTTGGCTATCCTTTCAAACACATTTTTTCGCAAACGAACCCTTCTTTTGAAATCGTTTGGCTGGTAGACACAATTATCCGCAAAGTAATCGTTAACTAGCCGTCTATGCCCTTCCTCACGATCTCTATTTAACGCCGCACGTCGCATGAGTAGTGGAGCTAGATCTGGCTGTAGTAGCTGGTCTGTATAATACCGATACATCGTACTAACGAACATATCGTTTTCGTCGATATCATCGTTGTACGGATGTGCCGGATCAAAACAATTCATATTTTGGTTTTGAATTATTGAAAGAAATATGTAGTTGAGAGAAAGTTTATGTATTTTGTAGGTAAAAATGATATAAATTATGTGTATTTTATAGTTACCGTTTTTAAAACGGTCGAAATTATGATCGTTGAAGGAAAAAACATGCAAAAAATGGGCGTTACCTCCGGTGTTCACCATAACGCGTCATCACATAACGCCTAATAACGGCTAGGGGGGGGGGGTGGTTCCTCCCGTTATGGCACCGTTATTAGGTGCCAACATGGTCATAACGCCCTTTCCCGTTGTCCATACCCATAGGTCTAAAAGTTACACACAAAGTTGTAACTGTCTTTTTTGTTGTGAAATTTATCTGAATCGGTTTTAAAGATCAATACATTTGTGTCCATGTTCACACGAACCTATCGTCTATTTTGATAACGAAGTTATAAAACACAAAACTACTTTTTTGTTGTGAAATTTATCTGAAACGGTTTTAAAAATCAATACATTTGTGTCCATGTTCACACGAACCTATCGTCTATTTTGACAACGAAGTTATAAAACACAAAACTACTTTTTTGTTGTGAAATTTATCTGAAACGGTTTTAAAAATCAATACATTTGTGTCCATGTTCACACGAACCTATTGTCTATTTTGATAACGAAGTTATAAAACACAAAACTACTTTTTTGTTGTGAAATTTATCTGAAACAGTTTTAAAAATCAATACATTTGTGTCCATGTTCACACGAACCTATCGTATATTTTGATAACAAAGTTATAAAACACAAAACTACCCGAATAACGAAAGAGGGGTCGAGGGGACGCAAAGTCTAAACTTCAGGGACCTGCAGAAAAACTACTCGTCATCACTAAACAACAACAAATCCTAACCAGCAAATCCATTCGGAAAGGACATTTGATTTCATCCCTGTAACTAGAATCCCTAAAGCTGCTGCAAGATTTCAAAATGGGTTCTCCTAAACACACAAAGAAACGCCATTCTCCTCCTCTTCAACTTCCGTAAACCTGTCGTAAGTCCACACATTTTAAATTATCATTTTGATGAATTCTCATTACCAATGTCAGCTTTTGCTGTTCGCATACCTTTCCCTTACAGAAAAATTTCAAATCATCGCTTTTGGTCCAGTAATTTGGGGTAATCCATGTTCGTAATCTCACATTTTTTGGCAGTTTTCAGGTCATTTGAGCGCGTCTCAATGGTATGCTCCCTCCGTGGTGGGCAAATGACAACCCTTCTGGAAGGGGGGAGCACCTCGCAGATAATGGCAGGTAGAGACAAAAAATATGCTTTTTGTTCGTTGATTGCTATCATCATCATCTTTATGATTATTAATTACTTTCTATTTTTTTAATACCCCATTCTCCCATGGCGATCCACTTATAATAATCACTCGGAGAGGTGGATGCTAAGTAGCTTCGGATCCAAAATTAGAAATCAATTCTTGTTTGTTTGGTGGGAAAATTTTCATACATTTCATATGTTATGATCAAACCAAGTTAATTTTGGTAATCAAATAGTGTGGTTAACTCAATTGAGAGGCAAAGGAAGAGAGTACAAGTGTTAATATGAAATAGTTTCTTGAATACTTTTTATTTTTTTGACAGAGGATGTAGGCTGTTGGAAGTTAGCTGCTCAGTATATTCAAAGAGAACTTAAAGAGGCAGATGAAGTAAATTTGCTTGATGAAGAAGGTAGATTCTTTGATTAATTATTTGTAGTTAGAAAATAATTCAAGAATTCCTTCTTATTATTTATGATTTGTGGGGTCATAGAAACCTTCATGTGGGTGTATATAAATTAACAGAAGAAAAACATTGGATGTATATAAATTTTAAACTCATACAATAAAAATCCATCAAATAAGTCATCATTGTAACAAAAAGAACATTGGACATAAAAAGACTAGTAATGTACTTTCATTTATTTGTGTATTATAGCATCTTACTTTAATTTCTTTCTATTACAACAATTAAATTTCATCTTTTTTCTTATTTACTTGCTGAATGTTACAAATGGCCCCAGTACTTTCTGAAATTACAAAAACCAGTCACTAAACTTTCTGCAAGTTACAATATAGTCCCTAGGAGTTCTAAGAATTACAAAATAGCCCATGCAGTATATGGCTTTACATTATTTTTGAGAAATACTCTGTTTAACTTCTCAATATATTTGTATACTCATTATCTATTATCAAAAATTATGATTTCCCAATGCAGATATGCATGTATTTGGTTTAAGGCCTATGATGGATCCTTTAATCTTGGTGAGGTTTCAAACGAGTTTACTTTTTTTCTTTCTGGTATTCTTTTCATTTATTGCTTGAAATCTTGCCCCCTCTCCTCAAAAGGGTAAAAGAGGAAATATAAAATAACTTTTTTTTTAATGACAAAAACACACATTATTGATTATTCTCCTGTTCCTGATGCATTTCCCATTCATTTTAAAATCAACTTGTAGGTTTGTTGTGATTCTTGCAAGAAACCTTTGAAGGTTAGCCAATATGCAACTCATGCAGGTATCATTATTTTTCTTGTTTTAGATAAGTCCTTTTATGTAATTTTACATGTTTTAAAAGCTTCCAGCTACTTTTGCCAAACACTCATATACAAATAAAAGCTTTCAGCTTCCAGCTAATTTTTTGGAATACGCACTTAATATATACTATAGGCTATGTTAAATGTTAATATGAAATACATACATATAACATACTTTATCTTAAAAAAATTTATTTATGTAATATCCACTTCCATTTTCACAGAGATTTGCAAGTCATTAAGTTCAGTAACAGACAACACAACAGAGATTATCCAAAAGAAACCTCTAAGAAAGGAACGCAAGAAGTTGCAAAATACTATTTCTAGTATCCTTATAAATTATAATACATGTCTATAACCCCATGTTTTTTTTATTACTAATAGCATCATACTTATACTTTTTACCCAATAATAACAATGTACTTTCTTTGTTGTTATGATGTGTAAAAAGTAAAGTACATTGCCTATATTGGTAAAAAGAGTAAAGTATGTTCATATTTTCTGCAATTTTGTTTTTGTTGAGCTTAACTTGAAGGTAGCAGAAGTTAGTAAGCCTCAAAGATCTGAGCTTTTTAATTCTGCTGCTTCAAATTCTCATGTGGATGAACAAACCCTAAAACCAACTTCATTTCCTATAAAAGCAAAAGCAAAAGGTATCTTCCTTCTTGTCCTAATTCCATTTTACTATTTTGCTAATCCATGTTTTACTTTTATTTAAATAAATTGTTTGAAATTGGCAATGAAAATTGTGCCATTTAATGTTTTTGGTGAATTCTATTTTAGTTCATTAGGGTACTTCCTCCAGATCTCTCAATTGTGTAAAAGACGTGAATGCCCTCCTCATCCTCATCATAAACATTAACCCTAGAAAATTGTTGTGGTGAAAAAAATTGCTAATTTTTTGTCCCACCCATTTATGGAACAAGATGGACGTAAATGCCCTCATCCACATCAGTGAAAATAGCTACTCTTGATAGCTTGTTATTGTAAAAGACGTAAATGCCCTCATCTACATCGGTGAAAATAGCTCTAGAAACTAGTAAGCTCGTCATTAGGACAAAAATTACTTTTCTTTTGTCCCACCCAAAAACATGGAATCTATCTCTTGTTTGTGTAAAAGACGTAAATACCCTTTTCCTCATAAAAAAAAGCTTGTCCAATTCAGACCTCCAATCTTTTGAAGCAAAGTTCATGAATATATATATATATATATATATATATATATATATATATATATATATATATATATATATATATATATATATTTTTAGTTTCACATTTTATTGTATTTAATTGATGTTTATGATACAGGAATATCTGGTGTTCCAGCACCACTTGCAACCAAGATTTTCTATTCTCAAAGAAATCAACGGCTCAGAGCTGCAATAAGCCACATGTTTTACACATCATCATCATCATGTTTTGATCATGGCTTAAACAATTCAGACAACAATAACATGCCATTAAGAACATCGACTCATGCTTATTTTCATCATAACAAAACTGATGACCAATGTGAAAAGGAAAAGGTATGTATGCATAAATAATCTTGCTTTGTCTTTCTTTAGGTAATAATCTTAGTGGAATTTTGAGAAACTATGCTTATTGACAAAGAGAAAGAGGGGCATTTTTGGCACAAATGGAAAGATAGACATATTTTCTAAAGATGTCATTGTTGAGCATTTTTTCACAGGATGTGTTTTGATCAAAACAGCTAGAGAATCATGTCACATGTAGTATGGAAAAGTGTGATCCAATTCCTGCAAAAAGCTCAGAAGCTATTTCAGATGAATCAAGAACACTCCTTCCTATGAACTTTTAAGATCAGTTTCATGCGAATAACCATTTAGGGCCTCAAAGAATTCATGTAGGGAGTTTAACAAATGATTCTCTTTGAAATCGTTATCCTTTTGATAATAAGTAATTAAGTTTGCTAATTTTTGTTATTATTATTATTAATAGCTACTTATCATGGATATTAGCTGTAAGATCATAGTCACGTGTCTTCTTGTTTGACAACATGGTGTAGTTATTATTTAGACAAACTTAAAATAGTTTTACTTATTTTGTTTTTTGTAATATAAAATGTTTTGTGAGCAGCTCTTGTTTGACAACATGGTGTATGTTCCTTGGTGTTGCTCTTATTCCATTTATTTATTATCTTTAACTTGCGCTTTTAGCTTGTCCACGTGTACATTCCTAACTCATATGCTGTCTATTTTCGGTAGGATTATTCGGCTAAATCCAATTGGTTCAGATATTTAGATTCGTTTAGACCAAAGCCAAATTATTATAGTTTTGGATGTCCGATTGATTTTGGTTACTAAGACGTGTGTATTTTGATATTTTTAACATTTGATTTACAAAAATATTGCTCCTCCCTTTTTATTTTTATTTACTTCTTCTTGTGAGTAAAGTATTATTTTCTAGTTTACCCAAATAAAAATATGAACAGCACATTATGGTTCAATCAAAGTCTAATAACAATTCTGAGTAATAAAGCAAAATCAAAGATATAAAAGACAGTCTGATGAACTCGATGAATCTAGTATAATAAAAAATAATCAAATTCTATATACCTTTTAATTTGAACTAGTAACTTGCCCATTGTGGGTTGCGGCAACGCCAATCTATTTTGTAAGTTGAAAACGTATGAAAACTGATTTACTCTAATTATAAAAATGTATTATATGTGACTAAAGTCATATATAAAAATAGGGGGTTCTTGGTGCAACCCTTCAAATTTTGCAGCACAGTGTAAATTTTTTGGGATATTTTCCGACATGCCACCTCTAAAATCATGTGTACTACCTTTGAGATTTTGTCTCGCGTCCACCATTGGTCATACGGAAGGAAACGTATATAAAAATAAGCAAAAAAACGTACACAAAATTTACGTCGAAACGTAAAGAAATTCGAATTTATACCGAAATGTATATAAAAATAAGTAAGTAAGATTTAAAAAAAAAGAATTAACGAACGGAAGTTCAATAATAAAATAAACATGAAAACGTAAAAAAAAAATTACGTCGAAAGTAGACAAACTCGAATTTATACCGACATGTAAAAAAACAAGTCTGTTTTTTTTTTAAATTAACGAATGAAATTTCTAAATATACGTCAAAACATTGACCACCTCGAATTTATATCGATATATACATAAAAATAAGCACGTAAAAAATTAGTTTTTTGTACGGGGAATAGGGCTGTAAACGAACTGAACGTTCAACGAACTGTTCGTGAACCGTTCGGCGGGAAGTTCGTTTATTTAATAAATGAACGAACATGAACACAAATTCTCGTTCGTTTAGTTAAACGAACGAACATGAAAAATGCTCTCGTTTGTTCAATTATGTTCGTGAACGTTCGCTTATGTTGTTCGTTTACGTTTGTTTATGTTCGTTCATATAAGTTTCCTTTATCTCCATATATGTTTAATTGTGTTTGATTACATTACTATATTATATATTCATTTATGTTCATATATGTTTGTTTATCTTTGTTCGTTTATGTTCGTTTGTTTATGTCCGTTTAGCATGTTCACGAACATAAACGAACGAACATGAACCATGTAATTTGTTAAACGAACGAACATGAACAAGAAAACTCGTTCGTTTAACCGTTCGTGTTCGTTCATTTGTTCGGTAAACTTAAACGAACGAATATAAACAAGCCCCGTTCGTGTTCATTCGGTTCGTTTACAGCCGTAACGGGGAATAAACAAGAAAATTTAGAAAACAGAGAGGATGAAAATAATATTTTATAAAATTTACAATGAAAATGATATATCAAAAAGTAAAAAAGTGAAAAGTATTATTTTATAAAATAAAAGTATAAGGGTGGAAAATGTCCATTCACAAAATAAAAAAAGGTGGCAATTGTCGGTTTAATTATAAGTATAATCGCAAGAAATAACAAAATGACACTTTTGGTCCCTTTGGTTCTAATTTTTCAAAATTTCTTGTAGTTTTTAATTTGCATAAATTATATTTAATATTTATTGTAGTTTTAAATTTCCAGGATAACACTTTTGCTCCTTTTACTTTTTAAACTTCAAGAACAAAAGTAAAAGACATCTTGTGTCCATATAATTTTAATTTTTCGGAAATGAAGTGGTGGTTGACTATGTTGTCACACCCCGATCCTTGTCGGAATCGATCAAGGCGTGATATATTGTTCAAAGTCTCATGACAACTATGTTATAATATGATTAGATTCAATTAAGTACTAAGTATGCAAACAAGATCCACAACATACAAATACAAATCCAAATACGAACAACATTTATTACATCAAATTTAAATAGTCTTGTGGATTTCTAAAGCACAACCTATTTTTCATCAACTTCATTCTTCAAATCTGCATCATGGGTAAAAACAGGTCAACTACGAGAGTTGGTGAGTAATCTATTTTTAGTAGAGAAAATTGTGAAGTTGAAACATTTATAATATGAAATTTGTTTTCTTTTGAAGTCGGCAAACAATTGTATTTGAGATAACGGTTTATAAATCAAAAATTGATTAACAAATGATAACAACAACAATAAGTCCTCACCCTATATATAAACATATGTGTGTATATATATATATATATATATATATATATATATATATATATATATATATATATATATATATATATATAGGATGGAGCATCTAATCATCAAACACACTCAACCACGTGCGATCAATCACCTTAGCGTCCCAAGGCGGGGTGGTCAACCCAATAGCGCTATTATTGTCCATAACGTACCTCAAGAATACGGGCATAGTCATGAAGATTAGACTAAAAATGGTAATGCACTACAAGTACATGTAGCGTAAACAAACAATAGTTATACAATTAATGACTCGCGTATAAATGTCCCAACAATGTCTCAATTGTGATAAAACAATAAAATGAAGTTGGAACATATTAGAACCACATGATACATCCCAAAAGTATTGAAAATTATAAAATATGGGGTAGATTACTCACATTAGTTCCAAAACGACATGCGTGTGTCGTACGATAGACGGTTCGGGTCAAAATGGCGTAGAACCTAATATAATTAATAGTTTTGGTTTAGGAACTGCTAAACGAGAATAGAGTACTAATACAAATAATTAGACACATATTCTTATATTAGATGAATTAACAATAATTCATTTTGATTAGAATATTAAGGTATTCATTTGTTAAATGAATTTTAAATTGAATTAATTACTTTGCATAATTAATTTATATTTTCAATTTAGGCCAGATTTTAATAATTTCTTATTAAAATAATAACTTGCCCAATTATAATTATTTACAGATTTTAACAATTATTTATATGAAATAATCATTAAAATGCATTTTTACATGCTTAAATACTTAGGAAAATGATTTTAAATAGTAAACAGTATTGAAAAATTATGAAATTATTAGGAAATCATTATTTTATACAATATTAATTACTGTAAAATTTTTATATTTTTCTGAACTGTTTTAGTATTTATTTAATACTTTAATGATTAAACAACAACAAAATTCGGGAAAAATAATAAATGATTCGCAAAAATTCTGTAAAATTAACCATAGTTTTATAACATGATATAGAGCCCAGTGTATAAGTTTCAGATATTTGTGACTATGGGAAGTATTTTTTATATATTTCATTATTAATTAATCAATAAAACCATAAATAATAGTAAACAGTAATATAAATGCATGAAACTTCATAAATTATGTTTAATCAATATATGGGTCATCCCATAATTTTCTCAGAATTTATTAAATGCAAAAAGTATTTTATGTGAATTATTGCCCTACTTTATTGCAATAATTATAGTAATTCAATAAAAATAAGTTATTTTTCTGAAAATTTCCAGAACTTCTTATTTTATTGATGGGATTCTGAGAAAAATCAGGTTTATGCATAAAATGAGTTTTAGATAGTTTGGTGGATTTAATTTGTTTCTTGTATGAATTTGAAACTTTTAACAACATACCTTGTTGAATGCTTCAAGAGGGATGAAGATTGGAGTATAATAGATTGTTCTTGGCTGGAATATGAGTATTTCTTGGATGAATTTCGAGATTGAGAGTGAGAGAAAGAATAGAGAAGGTTTAAGTGGTGAAGAGAATAATGTGTTGGGAGAAAAAGGAAAGGAAAGTGGATGGGAGGTGTGAGTGGGAGACTATGAGAATAATCTTTTTGCTTTTGGTGGTCTTCATAATTTCCCACTAACACAAGCATCTTTTACATAATTAATATAAGAGTTTTATAAAATTTAATGTAAAGTTTATAAAAAATAGAGTTTTATAAAAGATAGGTTATTATTTGATTATAACAATCTACTTTGATTTGAAGTTTAATTATAGCATTCAAGTTTGATTCTTTTAATTTAATTAGAGCATTATACTTTGATTTGATTTTAATATGGTATCATAATTTAATTGGATTATAGTTATAACGTTGTACTATACTATGTTGCTATTAACGTCAATTTATATCGTAGTGTATGGGTTTTGATCCTATTAGCGTCAAGTAATCTTGAGTAGGGTTTATTAAATTTCCAATGTTGTTTAGCACTGTAAAGGCTAAGGAAAATCAAACACACGAATTTTCCAAATGATGTTTTCTCATTAAAGTAGCGAATTGTACAGTTATTACATAACGTAAACCCTAACATACAAGGGTTAAGGGAGTTGACCGGTTTGACTTGTTGACTTAGTTTGACTTTGCCTTGACCGAAATTTGACGGTTGTCACATCATCCCCCGTTAGAAGGAATTTCGTCCCGAAATTTTCATTTTGACTGGGATTTCGAGAGTTTGGGAAGAGATGTGGATACTTTTGTTTCATCTGATCCTCGCGTTCCTAGGTGAATTCGGGTCCTCGTTTAGCGTTCC